TTTTGCAGTATTAGAGAATCACAGACTAGCTTAAGTATGAATATCTAAGTTACAAGTTGTCGCGACCTGTCGGGCTCCTATGGCCCTGGTCTCGGTTAGCGCAGGAAGGAATCAGGCGAGAAGCGGATTAGAAGTACAAGCTTGTGGAAGGCAGGTTAGCCCTTACTTTCCAGGTAACCCTGAGCAACCTCCGCACCAGCCTTTTATTGAGCCAGAACAACACAGGTGAGGGGAGTAATTAACAATGACTAGTGCTGAGGGCACGAGCTCTTCTTCCACAAGGAACTCCTGTGGAGGAATGGCCCGAGGTCCACGCCTCAGCTGCAGATCACCTTGTTCGGATGTCATCTGGCTCTTGGCGTCTCCTACAACAAGTTAGACCTAGTAGGTTATAAATAGTTTTTCTGACCCTTTTGAAAAATAACTACCTAAGTGATTTTTGTTGCTGGGTGAGAAATACTACTTTATATACAGTTTTGGTTTTCTATTTGCAGATATGATTCATGTATTACACCAAAATAAAGTTTTTTTTTATGTTTATAAAGTGTAATTTTTAGGTTCACTTAGAATATTTTATTTAATAAGTTAAAATTCTTTTGGCACACTATTAAATGCAGAAACTCCTTTCAAAGAAAAAACCTACCTTGTATTTACATTTATGTTCTTAATCTCTACTTTTATGTCTGTACAATATACTGAGTACAGTATGGTGTCCAAGAGTGCCCTGTGTGAACAGACACGTGACCTCCCTCCAGGAGTGGGCACCGATGCGCCCTGTGCGACCAGATATGTGACCTCCCTTCAGGAGGGAACACCGATGTGCCCTGTGTGAACAGACATAAGACCTCCCTTCAGGAGTGGGCACCCATGCGCCCTGTGTGAACAGACACGTGCACGCCTTTCAGGAGATTCCAGAACACAGATGTCTATTATTAGTTAGGCTTCTGAGCTTGCAATCATATGGAATGTATGAAGAGCAAAATAAAAGCAAAACCATATTTTTGTACAATTTTAAAGTTTATACTCAGAACTAACCACCTCCCCGGCCATGTGGAGAGTTGTAGAGTGTGTAAAAATGCCTTTAGCTTGGATCAATGGGTACAGTATTTTTGCATCTGTGGGACCTACTTTTTTGTTCAGTAGTTTGAACTATATATAAACTATACAATCTGTAACCATTTTATAGACTATTCAGCTGTGAAACTGGTTAAATAAAACTAATATTTATTTATTTTTTATTTAAGTTTTTTTTTTGTTGTTGAGACAAGAGTTCTACCCTATGCCCTGAGCAGAATGCAATGGTGTCATAGCTCACTGCAACCTCAGACTCAGGCTGTGGGCATCCTGCTGCCTCAGCCTCTGAAGCCGCTAGGATTACAGGCACTTGCTGCGGCGCCCAGCTGAGTTTTTCCATTTTTTTCCATGAGTCGGGGTCTCATTCTCTCACAGACAAGCCTCAAACTCCTGAGATCAAGCAATCCTCCCACCTCAGCCTCCCACAGCCTCCCACAGCGCTGGGATTACAGGCGTGAGGCACTGCGCCCAGCTAAAACTAATATTTCTTTTCTTTTTTTTCTTTTTTTTTTTTTTGAGACGGAGCCTCAAGTTATCCCCCTGGGTAGAGTGCCATGGCATCACCCTCACAGCAACCTCCAACTCCTGGGCTCAAGCGAGTCTCCTGCCTCAGCCTCCCAAGTAGCTGGG